TGATGACTGCGAGAACTTTGCTTTGGCAGAAACTTTAATAAACACAATTTGAATACAGACATATAGTCAGCATTAAATAGAATCATCGATTAATAATATAAGGGCTTCTGAGGGTCTTCTTTCCTGCATACAACTTTTCTTAGAAATTTACCCATTATCAATCTGTTCAGGGTATATTAATAACATCCCTAAATGGGAACTATGATGATCTAATTACAAGTACAGCTTCTTTGGCCCTCAAGAAATTGAAATAAAATTGTAGACGTTGTCACATTGCGAGCTCGTACTGCGTACGGAAGGCGAGATTCATGTTTGCCACCCAGCAAGTTTAGCAATTGCGAATTTCAAAATTAAATTCCATGTCATTCCGTGTAAATCATTTGCAAAATTAAGCGAAACCCCAGCGCGGAGACCGTGGCAATTTATCAAAAATAAATCATTTCAAAAAGTACCCTCCGGTCGATCTGGCAGCCAAATGCAAGTGCAAGTGCGAATCCGTATCCGCAAGTCCGTAGCCCCCGCCATGTCGAGCAGCGTCATTCAAGTACATACCTGTCGCCAGGGCCGTGGCTGGCAGGCCCGTGATAAATGGCAGATTAGTTTGCAAATTTTAGAGCGCGAAGTGCGACACCAAAATGTCCATGTCAAGCACCCCAGAGCAGCGCGGAAAGTGGGCACATATTTATTTATGCGTAACACAGTAATTAGTGATTAAGTTGATGTAATGCGCGCGTGAGTTGTACAACTTAAAATATACAAAAAAAGAATAGATGTACACACATACACAAATCTAGAAATATGCCTCGCATTTCAATCCCTGTCTTTATTTAGCTCTCGCTCCCCGAATGTCTTGCAGGTAATTAGTCTCCACTCTTCCACGAAGCTGTCTCAATACATTATACTCTAAGAATATATTACAATTTATATATGTTCCACAAAGCGAAAATTTAAAACCTAACGGGTTAACGGGTTAATAAACGCTGTAATCATAATAATGATCCTTAAAATCGTTTATTCTCATATTGTATTCTCCCACATTCTAATTTACACTCGTGCAATCATACTTATGTATATAATATATAACTTTATTTTATGAGAATCGCATAGGAAAGCGATATACAACATAAATTCTTTCTGATTTGCAGCACAGCAAGAGGACTTATACAAAAAAGGAAATAAACTGGGTACATATTCATATACTACTTTAATTTATCTTATGAGAATCGCATAGTAGGGCGATATACAACATAAGAAAGGCAGTCATCCAAAAAAAGAAGCAAACTAGGTAATGCTTACTTACGTAGACACAAGCATACAGCCTTTCTTACGAAAGGTAAACTCTCCCCTATAAAACCTTGGTCCCAATCTTGGAAAATGACTTTAAAACTGATTGCATAGCTAAAGTCAAATGTTCTTACAACACATTTTCTACAATTTATAGTCCAAATTGTCCGAAAAACCTTGCGTATTGATCATCAATCAGTTAGTCAATCAATCAGACTGGACAAACATCTTAATATATAAAGATCTAACCCTATCCTTAACCAGCCATCAACGTTTGCGCATTTCCAATTTAGCGCAAAAAAATTATAAGCAAAATATGTTAAAATTAATTCAAATCGATTAAAACAAATTGATGCCATTCAGAGAGGAGCTGACATCGTTAACTAATTACGAGCAAGTGCAAATGTTTATAAAGTAAAAAATCATTTTTCTCCGCTGACAACAGACGTCTGTTGCCTCAATTTAAAAGCAATCATTAATTATGTAGACCTGCATTTTAGGCAACCGACTGTGCGCAACGGACTCGTCGTCAATGACGACATTGACACAAGGCACTCATGTCATTTGCTCAATACACACACACGCACACACATATTTAAGTGTGTACATACATACTACATCTATGAACAAATGTAAAATTCAAAGTATTTGTATTCCTATGTCCTAATAGCTCACATCATGCTTACAAATCTATAAAAACAACACTTACGAGTCTTCTATTTTTAAATAAACACCTGAATATAGGATTTCTAGCGAGTATTACCCAGCATTGCCCGGTCTAAGTGTTTTTTTTTTTTTTTGCTGATAATTTCACATATTTAATCTCGACTTGTTCTAAGTCTGTATTATTATTACAATTTGCAAATGACATTTAAGCCGATTGTTTGGTAAACAAAAACATTTTATACCAATTTTTACCACTAATTTTCCACACTTCAACGTGGAATTCCCAAAAAAATAAACTACATCCTAGCGTGCATCAAATCAATTAATCAATCGGAACAAACAATTTTAGAAAAAGACAGATTTTGACTATATTCGAAATACGTTCATAATTTGAAATTTGCTAAAATTAAGAGTTAAACATTAAATATATGAAATGTATTTATGCAGATTCAGCTTTAAGCAATACTTTGTTGCACGCCTATCTTCAGTATATATCAGATGTTAATTAAGGCTCTCATTTGGCAAATTTCAAATGCCAGATAAACGGCAATTACAAGCAACATCATTTCAGCTCGGACCCATAATTCACGGCGGTGCTATCGCACGGCGAGCACGGATCCATTACGGTATCTGGTGTTGGACAACGCTTAAGTCCGCGTTATAAAATGAAGCGAACGTTTCATAAATTCAATAAATAATTATTGCTGCGCCTGGGCCTGGGCCTGGACCCGGGCCTGAACCAGGACTTGGCCCATGACAGTGCACGGCGATGGTATCTGTAAGTGGGTGCATGTACCGTTACCGCATCTGGGTCTGGCCAGCCGCAAAGTGCGGGTGTGGGCGTGTGTGTAGGTGTGTCCACACGGATATACCCCGCATTCGCTGGCCTGCAGTTAATGTTCCTATTTATACCCTGAACCTACTGAAAATGGGTAAATTGGGTATAATACTTATGTGCATATAAGTATAACAGGCAGATGGAAACATTTCCAATACCGTTAAGTATATATATTATTTATAAGGACGACAAGCTGAGTCGATCTAATCATGCCATCTGTCTGTCCGTCTGTGGAAACTATAGATGATATTAGAAAAATATGCAATACGCAGAATGAGTCTATAATGTTATTCGATATTCCTCCTTTATCATTGCATCGATAAATATTGATTTTGACACTTAGTTTTGGAGCATAACTCGAAGATTATAGGAGCTAGATAGACCAAACTGGGTATGTTCTCTCGTATGTGCAGTTTAAGAATGTTTGTCTTTTTGGATAACGTCCCTCAATCTCTCCAAATAAAGAAAAACCATGTTTAATAATTGAGTCTTAAGTTTTGGTATGTACTTGCTTGAGGATCGGAGCATAAGCACCGAAATTAATGAAAATGCATTCCCCATAAAAAGTGCAAGGAAAGAGGAGACACAGCCTAAAGAGCGTAGCCTCCGGCGTGCGACTGTGTATGTAAAGAAGGATGTGAAAATGCTTGTAATGGAACTAGGGTATCTAGTAGTCGGGCACACCTGACTAGAACAGCCTTGTTTCAGTATTGCCGCATTGCATGCCAACAAAGTGAACGGCCCACCGGGCGTATGCGCATTTATTAAATGAAAATCGGTTGATGCCATTGCCTTTCTTGGCCTGGCCGTCCGTTCGTCCGTCCGTCCGTCGGTCCGTCCGTCCGGCCGGTACAGTTCCAATTTGCAGCTGAATGCAAATTGTATTGTAGTCGAGTTATTGTATAATTGGTGCAATGTCGACTGGGCCGGGCACCGTCGCCGTCGGCGTCGCCGCATCATCGCAGGCCGTGCAAGGGCGACTGTGTGTGTTTGTGTCAATAAATTAAAATGAGAATTGATTCGCTTACGCCCGATTTAAGCAACAACAGGCCATTTTATGGGCAGATATGCACTGGGGCCGCCATGTAAACAGTCGCAACCAGACACGGATAGGGGATACGGTCGATATTGCCCGGCAAAATAGTCCAGCATGTGCAGACGCGTGTCGAGGCTCGCTCGCATTTCGAAACTATTAACAAACAAATTATATGTTGAATCCGCACTTTAAAATCCAATTTCAGCACGCATTACAAGAAAATTCCATTAAACAATGGACTCCACCGTTTCGAATACCCATACACACATATATTTATATATGCTATATATAAGTATAATACAATTCCGGCGACCTGGTCAGCCGCAGACACAGTGTCTCCACAACAAACTATAGTATGCACAAGCAGGCGCATTAAGATAAGAGAAATCGTCTAACAAAACGCATAATCTACAGCTGAATTACGAAAAAATAAATCGGTAACACAATTTAAATTTATATCAAAGACAGTGCCTACAAACATATGTGTACGAACACTAAAACAAACGATGGGATAGCCTAACGGACTCGGAACAAGATAAGCGACTTGCGATGCGGCAACTGCGGGTCCGAGCCGTCTGGTTGTTGGCCCGGCTTGGTTTTGGCCCCTCCTGATCCAAGTGGAGAGACCTGTGGATGCTAAATGTCAGCGGAATAATAAAATTAGCTGTTTTAACGACAATGAAATTGTCCTAGCGCTGTCTCTTGGCATTTCTTTGGTTGTTGTTGGTGTTGCATCTTGTTGGACCGCCTGAAATATGTATCGATTGGAAGACCAATCAAACGGCATCGTAAATATTATCTTTGGCCATCTGCAACTTTGCAGCCTTGCACTAAACCAAACCAAACCAAAGCCAACAAACCAAATGTGCCGTACCATAAATTTAACAAAGTGACATTTCTTTGTCATGTTAATTAGACCGCCAAGTGGATAACGAAATTTGATAGGGCATCTAAGATACCTGCTCTCAGAATCGAAGACACACTCACTCACTCACGCTCATAAAATGCTGGCCACAAAGGGTCATTCCAATGAAAACTATCTTTCCACGCAGTTGCATACTACGTACGGCCCAGTCAATACCATCATCTTCGTAGACTTTGTGGCGACGACAACATGAGCATGGATATTTCACTCATTAATATTTATTAGCCCTGCGTTTATTTACATAATACAAAAGACATAAAAAATCATGAACCAAAAAACATCAACACTGCTTAAAAATGTTTCTATCTAACGTTCTTTTAATTGAAAAACCCCAATAACAGCCAAGAATATCTGAACGGAATCAAAATCAGGCTTGCTCTATATCAACTCTGAAAAGTTTCCTCTTCGATAATAATAATAATTTCTAAGCTTCCTTTATTAGCAAAAGCAAAATACCTAATTCTGATTAAAGCAAGAGAAGGGGATGGAGAAGGAACTACACTGAGGGAGAGAACTGAGAGAAACTGTATAATCAAATAAAGGCTAAAAGACTTAAATTCGTGAGAATCGCATAGTAAGGCGATGTTTGCAGCGCAGAATGGGATGTTTTCAAAGAAGAAGAGTTAACTAGGTCTACATGGATAAGAGACTATTGAAACGTTAATTCGAGTATCCGGGTATATATTCTTACTGATATAATAATTTATTTAGTTATTTTAAAGCTTTCCATTTAGAAGACCCCCTACTTTAAATCTAATTGTCTAGCCATAAAAAAAACGTTCTATTCTACAAAATTTAGCAAAATTCGAACGCCAAAAGCCGAGTTATATCAAAATCTTAGCCCTCCCATGAGTAAGTCAAGCAAACCAATAATGTGGCATTTACTTACTAGTTGTCTACGGACAAATATATAAACTGGCTATAGTGAGGCTGGGGAAATCAATCGATGTTAATGACGCTTCACTGGAATAGCTGGCACAACGATCTCGGAGGGCAGACGTCAAGACAAACTTCATTGCCTGGTCGCCTAATGGCCATAATTATTTTTACTCATCTTATCAGCCCGAGTTGTCTGAATGGTGTGCATGTATCTGTGTGTGTTTGTGTGTGTGTGTCCGTGTCGATGTCAAAAAGCGCACCACCCGGTTCCGCAAAGGTGGCCATCGGTCCCACATTTTGTAGGCGTCTGACATCGTTGTAAATGAGTATTTTTAGGCGCTCGCTTGGCGTTTAATTCCGTATTTCTTCAATTTCTCTAAGGTAGACACCGCACAGTGCACGTGTGGTCATGATTTATGGCCAACAATGTACGTCCATTAGAGAAGGCTTTAAGCCGAGGCGTTCGCAAGCAAATACGGTCAAGAAGAAATATCCATGTTCAGATTTAATTAATGAATCGCTTCAAACAACGAGCCACAACTCAGGCACATGACGCCAAGTACTGTTATATGATTATTTAATGTGACAGTAATTTCTATTATTATTTTTGTTATATAATACAAATTTAAATATGTCATTATATTGAAAGATCAATGTGAACTCATAAGAAATGTTATTCACATAAATTAATTTAAAATAATATACAAATTTTTGCCTTGAATCTCTGTGCCAAATATCCTAGAACACATGTGGAAATTCTTAAAATTATGTAATACATAAGTTTTTAATAAATAATTTGTATCTTTTGGTTATATGTGTCTACATTGATATGCATTTGTGTATGTAAGGAAACAATATATATAATAAGCGTATATACTAAAGGAAATTACCCGAGGTCGTCCGGGTCAAATAAATGTTAAGAATGTTAGTATTAATTTCCACTAGGAATTAGCATGTAAACAAACGATATGTAAAAAGAAGTTTGTAATTGTAACTTAAAATTGCTGAATCATTGCATTGGCTCAACATACATGCAAACATACGCACGAGTGTATGTATGTAGATATGCTTATTTTCTTATTTATAAGTACATACATGCATGTAAATGTGTACTTACCAAAGACGTCACATACATGTGCATGATTATTTGCCTTTCATCAATTTGAGTGAGAAAGAAAGCACTACACATCACTAAAAAAAATAGAGAGCTCGTTTGAGTTAGATCAGAAGAACTAAAGAAGGACTAAATTATTATGTACATACATACACAAATGCATACATACATACATACATATATAGTTACAAGCATACATGTTAACATACATGCATACATACACACATGTATACATACATGCATGCATGCATGCATGTACACATGTGTACGTACGCATACAGCTAACTTTGCTGACGCGTCATTGTTCAAACTGTTCTCAGCTTCTTTCAATGCACAAAAACAACAATATGCATTTATACGCACGGAAGCGGGCAAAAGAGAAGGACGAATTTGCATAAGAAGCAATGCAATATTTTTTTTTATTGCGTGCCATTAGAATCAAACGAATATGAGGGACACGAAAATCAAAAACACACTAGAACTTTCTAAGCAACCGATGTATGCATGTATATGTGTATCTTTATATTATAAATATATATAATTTAAATGTATTATATATATTCATATACTATTAGATCAATTTAATAACTTACCTTATGCAACATAATTTTAATTTTATTACATACATGCACATGTATGCATGTAAGTAAGCACTTTAGACACAAAACACACATGGAGCACAAGACAACGCGGCTTTTTCAAGCTATAACATAAAAAAACACAAACAAAATACACCATATTAGGCACAAAAAAAAACATTAAAAAAATCACTATTAGCACACTAAACAATTAACTTGCTCACTTGTAACCAACGCGTGGTCAACGTCAAGACGCGTCACTTTGAACTAAAGAGAAACAAACAGCGAAAGCAAAGGACTAAAACGCGTCACAAAGAGAGCATGATCGCTTTGTAGTTGTCCGTATGTCTTTTATACCCCTTCCCGTCGCCAACAAGCGACTCCCACTCTCTCTTCACTTTGGCGCAGGCAAAATTTAATGATGTGCGCCGTGGGCTCAATTCTCTCCAACGTTGATTTGTCATTGTCTCTTGACACACTTGAACGCACCGTGGATCGAAACATTTAATTTCAGCACCATATTAATAAAAAGGAAATGTAAAATATTGTAAATTATTAATACAGCTGCATGCCAGCAGCTGAGATATTCGCTGAAACCGAAAGTTGATGCGTGCATATTTGTACCACTGTGCTAAACTAAGAAATTGGCGCACGCATAACTGTAATCTGCGAGTGTCCTTTTGACATTCCTTCTATGTCGTCGTGAGCGCAGGCAAAAATGCCGCGATTTTCTCAATTTAGTTTTAGTTGAGGCGTCTTGACGTTGCCCACGCGTTGGATACGTATAAATTAATAGTTTGTGAGCCAAAAAGTGATTTATGTTTTTTGTTTCTTTTTTGTTTGATTAATTGGCTTGCAAGGACATTGTTGTCTTATGCGCCATTAGTGTTTTTTTTTTGTTGTTTTTGTTAATAGTGCAGTGCAGTGCAGTGTTAAACAACTAAACTGATTTTGTGCGAGGTAAGTTTTTGGAATTTCCTAATAAATGTTAAATGCAGATCCATACATGCACATGTACATATGTATGTATGTATGTATGTCGCTTGTTACGTGTGATGCTAAGCAGTGCCAGTTTTGAAATAGACAAGCAAGCACAAAGAATATTCTAGTGTGTTTTTCATTCTCGCTTGTTCATTTTTTTTTTCATTTATTCCTAACGGCGCGCAGCCTAAAAACGTTCCTTTGCTCCTTCTGCGTTCGTCATTCTCTTTTGCACGCTTTCGTGCGTACAAATGCATGTTGTTGTTCTTCTGCACTGAAAGACGCTGAAAGGAAGAGGCTGAACAAATACATACGTACTTGGTGGCGTTAAATTTAGTCTTATATGTATAAGTATGCATATATATTAATTTATGTATGTACGTATGTATGTATGTATGTTTGTACATGTATCTCATTTAATTCCGCTTTCTTATGTCTGATCTTTCGCAGCTAATTTTTTGTTCTTGCAGTGATTAAAAAGAGTTTTTCCTCCCACTAATTGAAGGATAATCCAATGATCGTGCTCTTGTATTTGTATTTTTCAGTGAGTACGCATTTACTTTTATTACAATTATTTTTATTTATATTACTATTATTATTATTATTATTATTATTTTTATTATTATTATTATTATTATAATTATTATTATTATTATTATTATTTTATTATTTATTTGTATTTTATTACTTTTTAATATAACCATTTTTACCTTTTTGCTTAGACCATGTTTTTTATTTGTAAAAAACTTGTAAATGTCAAATTAAGTGGAATCACTTAAAAGCCCTTATACATATGCATATACATATACATATTCATATAATGTAGAAGCGCATATTAATGTATATGTCCACAAAACATAAGTTGGTAAATGTGCATATAAAGTAACATCCGGTCGCAATGGGCATAAAATTATGATATAAATAAACCTCTATATTATATTCAATAAATCGCATATCGCATGATTCTTAATCAGCTTAAGTTTGTACCCCCTTCTTGTAAATATATATAATTTCGAGCAGTTTATTTATTTAATTAGCGCTTAGTTCATTATATTGAAGAAGGATGTGATATACGCGCATTGCTTGTAAGCATAGTTAGCTAATAACTCAAACACAGTCGTGTCTATTGCATTGTCGGGGGAATGGGGGGGGAACGGGTGAATTAGCATACAGCATCACGCATACGCCCCGATGTGCGCAAACGCAGGCCAAAGAAGACACAAGCTGCATGCTTATGCCTTGCGCCAGTTGCCAGTTGGCAGGATATTAATTGTTATAGTTGCGAGATGTGTGTCTGCTTGAATTGTTTCTGGGGCTTTGTGCGTTGCAACCAAATTCTAATCTTGTTGAAAACGTATCGCCGTGCCCGACTCTGTCAAAGCCAGAGCCCGGCATTTCGGCTACACTGACACAAGGATTTCCGTACATGACAAGCAGCAGCAATAATTTATAGAGGCTGCTGCGTAAGCAAGCTGCGTGGCTAAGGATGCTGCTGCTGCTGCTGCAGCTAAAGACATGAGCACACCACACACACACACACGCACACTCGAACACACTTGAATACTTGCTCTTCGGTTAGGGTTGGGATAGGCCTGACGGCCGGCCTTCTTTGGAACCCAACCCGAGCATCGGGCTGTCTCCAAGTCTGCCCGTGTCTGCTCGACGGCTGTATATTTGTTCTCGTCTTGTTTCACTTAAATGACACTTTGCATTCTTGTAGCATCTTGAATCCTATAGGCAAGTGGGTTAGCTCGACGTCTCCCTATTTTCGGGGGTGGAGTGGGGGAGGGGGTCCTGACAGCATCGACGCCCACGCGCTGGGGTTTGAGTGCGTTACGGTGGCAATTCCTGCAAACAGACAGGACGGACTTACGCAAACGCATCTTCTTGGAATTTTCCCTTTAATTATTTTCGAGCAAATTTGTGTTCTTTGGTATGTTATAATTGAGTGTGAATAGTCTCGATGAATATGAAAATTTGTGAAAATTAAATAAAACTTCTTATGGACTTACCCGAAGCAGCTGTGACTAATTGTTTTAATAGGCACAAGTATTTAAGCAATTTGCTGCCAAAATAGCTGCCCAGCAAGATATTTTTGAGCATGCATAAGATTGTTTGTGTTTTGGCTGAATTTGCATTTGAAAGGTTTTTAAATATTTATAAACCAATGCTGGTAGCTTTCAGGTCATATGCAATTAATGTTATATACTGAACAGAAAACGTGAAACTTAAAGAAAATGTAAATTAATGATGCGATCATAAATGTAACTATCGACATCTTGGTAAGGATTCAGCAAATTTAAGGCATTGCAAGTTCTATGTCCTATTTGCAAGCACAATTTCAGATAATATTGAACGCATAAAAGCCGAATATGAAGAATATAAACTGGGTAGAGTTGCGCCTAACAAACCCAAACATCGCATAGGCCATAGGCAAAATATAGTTAATATGCTGAACTTAAAGTCAAAAATGACTCCTAAGTCTAAAGCTTAAGTCGAAGCAAATAAGTTCTTGTACATTAATGAAATAGGTTGAAAGAAGGGCATAGAAACTTACGCCAAATGTGAATTGATAGCATTTAGTTTATAAATTCATCGGCAATAACATATAATCGGACTATCGTAAGCAACTCCCTACGTCAGTTGAGACGGATAGAAAGTTAGCTAGCTTAATAAAGTAGAATTAAGCTAAGACAATATCTCATTTCGCACCCATAATCTGCTTGCTTAGCTTTACTTTTACTGTCATTATATTCTTCACGAGTTTCAGACTACACAGAATCAAATATTCTAGCCCTTCTAGTTAATTAATAAATATAATTAGCTCTGACTGATTAAGAATAATAGCTTATTTACATAACTATTCAACAGCATTTTCTTGATCAATATAAATTCAGCTCTATCAATTTGTAGCTAGTCTGACTTTGATCAACTAATTCCGCAATACTAGTTACTTGATCTAGGCTTCTTGTTTATA